GGGCGATGGCCTGGTATTAAAGAGTCACCTTGGCTTAGATATAAAAATAGATGCGGTTAAGCCGCGGGGGCTACAACGCTGATTTTGCGTATTCCTTTAATGCCGACCTTCTCAGGATTCTGTTCGCTTATCCCGGCGGAGCTCTCCAGCCCCGCGCAGGCCCTCCTGAAATTTACCCAGAGTGGGCGCGGCCATCCCGACCTCGGGACAGGGGTGCAGAGGGCACGGGCGGGGACCGCCGGCCTCCGCCCCGCCACCTTCATCCTAAACCTACTGCCACTTAGGTGCCTGCAAGGAAGAATCGTGGTCTGCTTTCACAGTCTAGAGAAGTCCTAGAGTCCGGACTTGCATCTGGAGATGTCAGGAAAATACCAAATTCCTGCGCTGACCTTTTCTCTTTCACCGTTTAACCGGTACAGACTAACCCTGACCCAGAAAGATAGCAGGGTTCCATCCGGCTTTCCTCCCCTGCCTCTGCCAGCGCTATTCTACTGTCATATGGCCTCTTGCGCCTTTGCTAATTACACATTCCTACTGAAAAAATTAGCCCTCCTGCATTTAAAACATGATATATTGACTTTAAGGTAATGCATATTGTAGTCTAATGTATTTAATAAATGTATTGAGAAACAATATTGTATGTATTAATGTCAAGACTTTCTTTTACTCATTATGCAAGAACCGTAGCATTATGTTCAGCTCATCCAGAAAAGTGGGAAATTGCTTCTTTCATTCCTGGGAAATATTTAACAATCACAATACCAACTTTCACGAATTTCCTAATGATTAGCAAAATTAGCAAGATCAAAAAATACTTCAAAGAATACTTGTTGATACAGATATATTTGACCCTGATTTTAAAAAAAAAAAAATAGGCTTTTCTGCCATGTAAGAATCTATTGTTTCATTTGTATAATATTTAATTAGCCAAAATCTTGACTATTACACATCATTTACCATTTTAATGAAACATAATGAATTAGATTTAATAGAGCAGAAATTTTGGATAGTTGGGTTCTACCTATAGCCAGTGATGGATGAAATTATATGACTTGTATTTACATTTCTAGAGCTATATGTAAGTAGGAGTCCCCAGGGTAATCCCAAACAATTGCCATTTGGGGAAGCTTTTTTTGGCTACCAGACTATACCCTACAGATGTTGAAGCCTCAGGCCTTACTGTAAAGCTAACCAGTACAACTTGTTTATAATATTTGAAATGCCTGGGTATGATTAACTCTTAGCTATTGTCTAAGAAGTGTGCGGGTATTTGTGCCTGAATCAGGGAGGCCTGGCTCCCAAATGTCTGGCTACTCTGGTAGGAGACAGGACTACATTCACCCAGCCCTATGAAAAAAAAAAGTCCAATTTTTTTTTTTTTTAAATTTCAGACAGGGTTTCACTCCCACAGCCTAGGCAGGCTAGAATGCAATGGCGCGGTCTCTACAACTTCCACCTCTACAACCTGCAATTTCTGCAACCTCTGCCTCCCAAGCTCAAGCTATTCTCTGGCGTCAGCCTCCGGAGTAGCTGGGACTACAGGTGCACACCAACGCATACCACTAAATTTTGTAGAGACGGAGTTTCGCCATGCTTCCCAGGCTGGTCCTGAACTCCTGAGCTCAAGTGATCTGCCTGCCTAGGCCTACCAAAGTGCTAGGATTACAGGTGTGAGCCACCACGCCCAGCCTGATTCTCTTTTCCCTACTTGCAACATGACACTGTTTTTGAGAGTTTTTGTTTTTTTCTTTTTAAATCACCATTGACTTCTCTCTTTGGCTGAGATAAGTTTTGCTTATGTTAGTGGGCATGAGGGAAGAGAGAGACCCTCTCATATTGTTTTATATTGTTTTATACTCAGAAAAGGAAAGACAAGAGAAACTAAAGGCAGGTAGCCTGGCACCTAGGAACCAGACCCAAAACCAGGCCTCGGCCTGCCTGACCTAAGCCTAGTAGTTAAAATTCGACCCCTGACCTAACAACTGTTGTTACCTATAGATTCCATACATTGTATGGAAAGACATTGTGAAACCTCCCGTTCTGTTCTCTTTCACTCTGACCACTGGTGCTCGCATCCTCCGTGATGTACCCCCTGGCTTGCTCAATCGATCACGACCCTCTCTCGCAGACCCCCTTAGAGTTGTGAGCCCTTAAAAGGGACAGAAGTTGAGCACCTGACAAGCTCGGATTTTAAGACGCTAGCCTGCCGATGCTCCCAGCTGATTAAAGCCACTCCCTTCACTATCGGTGTCTGAAGGGTTTTGTCTGCGGCTCATCTCGCTACATTTCTTGGTTCCCTGACTGGGAATCGAGGTGATTAACGGATGGTCAAGGCAGCTCCTTAGGCAGCTTTAGCCTGCCCTGTGGAACATCCCTGCTGGGGACTCCAACCAGCCGGAGCGACGCAGATCCTGAGAGCGCTCCCAGGTAGGCATTTGCCCCGGTGGGACGCCTCGCCAGAGCAGTGTGTGGCAGGCCCCCATGGAGGATCAATGCAGTGGCTGAACACCGGGAAGGAACTGGCACTTGGAGTCTGGACATCTAAAACTTGGTAAGACTAGTCTTTGGAACTTGCCCACTCCATTTGAGTGGAAGTGTGGCCTGATCAACCATGGCGTGCCTTTATCGGCATTTTGGTTTTGGTTTTGACTTGGTTTGAATTGTTTGACAGGACTGGTCTTTGGAACTTGCCCACTCGAGTGGAAGCGTGGCCTGATCACCCATGGCGTGCCTTTATCAGCACTTTGGTTTTGGTTTTGACTTGGTTTGAATTGCTTGACAGGACTGGTCTTGGGAACTTGCCTACTCCGTTTGAGTGGAAGCGTGGCCTGATCACCCACGGTGTGCCTTTACCAGCACTTTGGTTTTTGTTTTTGACTTGACTTGGGTTGCTTGATACTTTGGTTTTGGTTTTGACCTGGCTTGGATTTCTTGATACTCTGATTTTGGTTTTGATTCTGGTTTGATGTAAACTGTAACAGTGTGTGTGCCCTTTTTACCCATTCTGTGTTTTGTAGTGTGTGTGTGGGGGGTGTTTTGTCTCAAGGAGACATGGGTCAGGCACAAAGTAAGCCCACCCCACTAGGAACTATGTTGAAAAATTTCAAGAAAGGATTTAAGGAAGATTACGGTGTTACTATGACACCAGGAAAACTTAGAACTTCGTGTGAAATAGACTGGCCAGCATGAGAGGTGGGTTGACCATCAGAAGGAAGCCTAGACCGGTCCCTTGTTTCAAAGGTATGGCACAAGGTAACCTGTAAGCCAAAGCACCCAGACAAGTTTCTGTACATAGACAGTTACAGCTGATTTTAGACCCCCTTCCCCGCCGCAGTAGTTAAGAGAACAGCAGCATAAGCAGCTGGCAGAGGCAAGGAAAGACCAGCAGAGAGAGAGAGAGGAAAAGACAGAGAGGAAGAGACAGAGAGACAAAGAAGGAGTCAAGAAAAGAGAGAGAGAGACAGAGAGGCAGAAAGAGAAAGAGACAAAGGCAAAAGGAAAGTCAGAGAGAGAGAGACAGAAAGTCAAAGAGAGAAAGAAAAAGAGAAAGAAAGAAATATACAAATAGTTAAGAAAAAAACAGTGTACCCTATTCCTTTAAAAGCCGTCTATACCAATTCTAAGTTAATTTAGATTAAACAACGTCTTATTAATAAGAAAGGATAATTGAAATACCAAACTTACAAGGTTTTCAACAAAGTAAAGTTTGCTAAAAGTTAACAGTGTAACATGTATTACAGTAACTTCTAATCTTGTGGCCTTAGACAGTCTAGTCCACAGATATAAAGAAAGTTCGCTTTATTAAAAAAAAAAAAGGCAATGGTTGTCTTCAAAAACAAAAAAAGGAAAAAAAAGGAAAAAAAAGGAAAAAAAAGGGGGGAGAGGCAGAACTTATGTAATAAGAGTGTTATATGGTAAATTCTTGTCCTGAAATAAATTAACTGGTTGTTTAAAGAAAAAAATGTTTGTAATAAGTCAGAAAGTTGAGACATGTTGAAGAATTGTCTGCAAAAGTCGTGAAAGAAAAAAAGTCATAAAAAAATTTATGCAAAAAATGTTGTATAATTTAAAAGTAATAAGGTCTCCTGAGTACTATTGAAGAAACAGTTTATGTGCAAGGTGTGTAAGAAAAGTAAAATATACCTTTGGTAAAAAGATTATAAGGAGGGATAAGAATATGGATTTTTACCTACACTAAAAGGTTAAAAAAAATTATTGTTTTGAAAGTTTAAGCAAGTTTTAAAAGGTTAATTGTAAGGAAAATTCTATGTGTAAGCATATTAGCTGAAGTTAAAAAGGTATCATCCAGTTTTTCTGTGAACTGGACATTAAAGTAAAAACGCAACAGGTTTTTCTTAAAGCACCAACCTGCTCTTTAACAAAAATTATAAAAGGTTAAAAAGAGTCTATAAAATCTTACCTTATGGTCAAACATTAAAAATTAGATAAATATGTCTATAAGGTTTTACTAAAATTAAGTTTAACATTAATAACACACTAATATAAAGGTAAAATTTAGCTTATCTAGTATAAAAATCATACAAGAAGCATTATTAAATATAAAATGATGTTTAACTTTCTTTGGTCTAAAAACTAATAAAAATAGGTGCTAAAGGAAACTTTCATTTTACTAGAGGATCATAGAAGTTAAAAACTTAAAACAAAGTTTGGTAATTAAGACAGCATACCGGAGCCTATTGTGAGGAGAAGGGATGGGCGAGGGATAGAATTAGGAGATATACCTAATGTAAATGACGAGTTAATGGGTGCAGCACACCATCATGGCACATGTATACATATGTAACAAACCTGCACGTTGTGCACATGTACCCTAG